TTTCCAAAGACCCCCACTCTCAAAAATAAGACTTTTCTTTTTTAACACGTCTTGTTGTAACTATCTACTAAGATTTGTACTACTATGCCTGGGGGTGGGGGTGGGGGGGTCCCCTAAACTCCACGATAAACGAGGGACTACTGTACTCAAACCTCTAAAATTCCACAGAACAATCCCACGCTAGCTTAGCACCGCATTAGTGCGGGCAGTTGGAATATTATATTTCTGTGAAACTGAGTGGTGTAAAGATTTATAAAATACTGCTTTTGTGAAACGCATAGAAAGTTTTGACATTAGAATTGATTTAAGACGGCAGTAACACCCTTTAGTCTTGACTCTGCTCAGACTAGCCATGAGCTCACCAATTTGGTAAGAATTAAACTTTTTATTCAGACCGAAGCCAAAAAGATAGAATAACTTCTCAATCTTTCCACAGAACCCCACCTTCAAAAATATGAACTATCATTTTTAACACGACTAAGTGTGACTGATTCAGAGGAAAATAATCTACTGAAAGTGCCCCATATTTCATATAACTTTAACTTTAGAGGCCAGTTGATTGTGCTTTTTTTAAGGTGAGGCTGCTGTTTAAAACAAGTGATGTCTGATTTATTTAGTTGATTTTATTATTTTTTTGTATTTGTTGTTAGCTCATAAATATAACAGCATTATAGATATGACAAATGACTTAGTTGTGAAAAAAGTAAAAATAAACAACAATTAAAAGATTTTGACGTGTGGCAATCAGGTGTAGGCACAGAAATAAACCAAATCATAGGCCGACTGGTTTTGATCTTCACTGTTTCGACCACTTAAAAAAAGCTGCTATTCCTTTATACTTAATTGCCAAATACATAAAGATGCAACAGCAGCAGCTACAACCAGCTTACTATAGCCTAAATTTTGGTTGTATAAGCAAGAATGTTATTCATTATAGTATTTTTAAGTGAGTAAATTATTCTAATGGTTGGTAAATTAACCCTACATGTATTTAAGAAATTATTATTTAATTTATTATATCTGTTATTATACCATCTTCTATCTATTATATCATATTATCTTTAATGAAAAATACAAGTTAACAAAAGAAAATCAGACAAATTACTTAGGCAGCTGATCTACCTTCAAAAAATGCCATGTCTACATAGAAATACAGACATTTTGTTTTAATAAAATTGCACATTCTAAAATGTAATTGCCAGAGCCCCAACGTAAACTTTCTATAAAACCTTGCAGGCAATGTTCTGAATTTGTCAGTCTATAAGTGACATAATTTACAGCGATTTTGATTCACAGAAGGTTCTTCAATTACAAAGCAAATTCATGGAAATAGTAATATGCCTGAACTTGACCATGATGCATCGGATTCACTTTATTTAGTTATAACTCTAATGCGCTTGTCCAGCCTTGTGTAAAGGGTCTCTTCAAATCTCTGTGATTTCTTTTTCCAACCACCCCAAACAGTGGACAGTGTCACTGCGTGTTTGCTGTGGAGCTGAGATTGCTGCACAGTTATGTAACGCAAAGAAACCTGGGCGAAGCAGGCCTAAGGAGACACAGCAAAGGCAACAACAACAAAAAAAAGAGAAAAACATGTGATGTGGGACAAGCCATGCAGCCATGCACATGTAATCACCCGCCCACTTCTCTGCAGCAGCGGTGGGAGCAGTCAACCCAACAAATGCATATGGACTGGCAGAGGAGGCGTCAGTGTAAATCTCCACCCCAAAACCAAGCCAGGAGTTTATAAAAAAAAAAAATCAGAGAACAAGACAAAAAAAGAAGAGAGTACCTTGTTCTGCCTTCAGGTGTGCGAGTTCTTCATAAGGAAAATCAGACAGGAGCAGAAAGAGAAGTGAGAACAACACACCAATACTACACTTGTATTGTCACAACGCATGCTTTGCACGATAGCAAACCATGACTATCACACTAAAATCAAAGCTTTCCAAAAGAAATGCATCTGAAAGCTTTATATACTGAAAATGGAAATGACTAGTAAGAGCTAAACAGAGTATAACGTAGCTGTAGATATTTTCACTACATGCTTGGCCATTAGAAATAAGGTCAATGGATTCCAGGTATATTTTCTTGCATTATGAATAAATAACCCACATGGAGTGGTTCTATAATTTCACTGAAGTTCTGATCAATTCCTCCTGAGACTCACCTGGTTTTCTCTGGACTGCTGTGGAGTTGTCACAGGAACAAAAAGAGAAAGATAGAAGAGAAGCATGGCATTAGCAACACACTACAGTTGTGTTTGCATGTGGCTCTAACATGCAAAACATATCACACTGTGAATCATTGTACTGTCATGTAAGGAGCAAACGGATGCCCCTTGACATGCCTGCTTAAAATAGCTACTTTTATTTAAAAAAAAAAAACTTAAAACACCAAACATTTCATCTGTCCCGTCCTCTCAGGGAGTCAGATTGGCATTACTCCATTGGCGGAGAATCGTTTTCACATTTTGACTGTCACACAGTAACATTAATGTTCCACATCTTGGATCACACAGGTTTCCTCACAACATGAAAGGAGACACATAAATCCCCACACCTGAGGATTTACGGGGTTGTGAGGTTTGTGGATCTCAAGATGTTTATTGTCAGACCCATGTTTCTTTTTTCCTCCACCTCTCCTTTCTGCTCTTTTAAACCAACCATTCATTTCCTGTTTTGTTTATTTGTTTTTGCACACTTAAAATAAAGACATCCCGTTAGGTTTTTCAAAAGAATGCTCACTGTAAGGGTAATGGAGACATATATACATGTGGCGTTTGATATGCTAATCTGCATGGTTATCAGACGGTGGTACAAGCACAACTGGTGTTGCTCAGGATTACGTAAGTGGTGCTCAGCAGAAATTTTAGCATTTAATATTTACAAATTAAACAATAAGATAATTAAATATAATTATATGAACTAGAATACAAAACTAAAAAGAAGGCAGAGCCAAAACACTGAGTGGTTTAGTTTCATTATGATCTTGGCACTAAATGAAAAATAACACACACAAATGCAAGAGTATATTTTAATAACTCCTATACTGCACCCGTAAAGCCTCTATAGGACCTGCTGGCAACAAAAGCAGCAAAACAAAGAGAATTTGATTTGATCTATCCCCATCCTTCAGTCAGGGATGAGTTTATTAGTTTATATCAGATGCAATACAAATTCATAAGTTTGTACTATTTTAACCCATCCATTTTCTGCCTCTAATCCAAGACTGGGTTATGGAGGAAATAGTTTACACATAGATGTCCCCTGACCTACATCTCTACAGTTGCCTCCTTCAGTTTATCAGGGGCCAGGGCATTTCACGGTTTCTTCCTTTTAAAAGGGAGTTTTTCCTTTCCACTCTTGCCTTTGTGCTCGCTCAGCATGGGAGACTGCGACGAAGTGAACATTCAATGCAATCTGCTGCTTCCTGATCCTGCTTTTATGCATGTGAATGTATTTGTACAGTGTCATGAGACAACTTCTGTTGAGACTTGGTGCTATATAAATAAACTGAATTGAATTTCCATGTCAGCCATGAAATATAATCTGTCCTAACAGGACTAGTCTGAAATATTTTTCTTGGAAGGCATCTAAAACAACTCTGCCCAATGAACAAAACCCCTCAACTGGTGTATTTCAATGCATAGGAGCAACAACTCTACTGTTAGCGCTTCCTTAATAGCTTAACTCATCCGATTCATTCAGAGGAGTCACTACCTACAGTAACCACATCCCCTGCAGATGTCATTTTAACCCATCTATCAATATCCCTCTTTGTTCTACCACTGCACATAAACAAGACCCCTGAATACATTAAGGAGCATAACCTCAGCCTTGGAGATACTGATCTTCATGGCTGTTTTACACTCAGCTGTAAACCATTCAAGGCCCTGATGGAGGCCCTGGCTCAATGAGGCCAACAGGAGGACCACCAAAAAGCAGCTATGCCATTCAAAGGCCCATCAAACTGGAGACCTGCCCGATGGTTACACCTTTACATTTTACACACCAACTCTTTAGTCTTGAACCCAGTTTCAGTTACAAAAGGTTTTCAAAGAGTTATATACATTGCATTCAAGAGCATCGAGTAAAACTCAGTTCTTAAATGCACAAGTATGAACTACTGGTAAGTCTGAGGTTTTAGATCAGCTAGACAAAAAGCAGTGTTGTGTTTAACTTGGTGCAGTGACTTGATCTGTGTCCAGGCTGCAGAAACAACTGGCCTGCTTTCCCTCACCAGATATAGAAAGAGATTTTTCACCTTTATTCCTTCTCTCTCCCTCTCGTTGACACTATTGGGTTAACGTTTAAAGTTAGATTTAACAAACTCAACAGAACAAATATCTTTCAATAGGAGGGACAGGCTGGAAAGAGTCTTTAGCAGAAGCTGGTGAGGGCAAATTTTGTTCCTGTCTGCTTTAGGGAATTTAAAATGAATGTGATTTCTCCTCCCAGAGAAGAAGGATGACATTGATGGAGAGAAAGGAAGGATAAAACTGGTAAGGGGGGGGGGGGGGGGGGGGTG